TCTCCCACCAGCTCCGGGCCGAAACCGCGGGGTCGGAGATCCGAGTGGCGCGGGGCTTAACGGGTCGGAACACGTGGGGCCTTTGAGCCCGGAACCGGAAGTAGTCCCTCTCCCCGCCCCCTGGCTGCCCTGGAGCCTTTCTAGGCTTTTGGAGGTTTGGTTTACTCTGTGACCCACTGGGGGTGTCTGGAGATTGTGTAAAATAGATCCCTCCAGGAACCGTCTCCTCGCCTGTGTCGCCCTCTCTGCAATGAATAAATTAACACTCTGGGCCTTCAGTTCACACACATTTCTACTGCAAGGTTTTCTCATTGCTTTTTAAGTGTTATCGATCCTCTGTGTTTGTTTAGATTTGGTACCTATTGTTTAGTTTTCCTTTGCATGCTCTTTCCAAGCTTAGTAAAGTGGACCGAAAATTTGGGTTTGAATATTGGCTCTTGTATATATTTTGGCAAGGCTTCAGGCAAATCTCTTTACTCTCTGAACTTCAATGTCCCTCTTGTAAAATGGGCATCCTACTACTATTGCTCTGGGAATTGAATGACACATTTCATAGTAACTATCTGGAACATAGAGGAACCTCAAAGCAGTGTTGTTCTATACGTTTCTTTGAATGTTTCATTGTGCTTCTTTGCTTTAAGACTGTCATCCCTGATCCCATTTGTTCATTTTTTGCCAAAGTGGGTGACATTTCTACCTATCCTACTACTTTCCTTTATTCTGTTTCTGTTTTGCCCTATGAGTCACCATTCTCTAGGTGAGTGGGGCCTTCTTTTCCCACCTCTATTACGCATTTCATTTTCATGAAATGCATTACAGCAATCTGTACCATGTTTTGAACTGAATTTATTAATCACTTTTGGTAGAGGGAGACACATATTAGGATTCTTCTGAGTAACAAAATCCATATATAAAAAATCCATATATAAATGGAAATTTATTATAGGAATTGACTCCTGTGATCATGGAGGCTGATCAGGCAGTACATCTGTCCCCTAGGATCTGATACTGAAGAATTAGAGGTTGGTGGTGTAATTTAGGTCCAGGCTGAAGGTTTTAGAACAGAGGTAGGAGGGTGATGTGAGTGCTGATATAAGGCCTGGAATCTGAAGGTGGGAGAAGTGGGGGCAGTGATGTCAGGTCAGGAGGAGCTTGATGTCTCAGCTCAGTTTGGTTTTCCTCTGACCTTTTGTTTTATTCAGACCTTCAACTGGCTAAGGCCCATCCACTTTGGTGAGGGCTAATTTCTTTCAAAAACACCCTCACAGACACACCTAGAAATAACGTCTTATGAGTTATCTTGGCCTCTCCTAGCCCAAACACATAATTTTGTGACACATAAAATTAATCCCCTCAGAAAAAGGATATACAGTTCATGAAAGTCTACGGTGTACTCCATATGTCAGGTAAAAGAGCTGAAAACCAAGACTAGACGAGAATAACCACAACAAGCCTTTATTATAGGAACAATCGGCCAGGCTATCACCAAAGGAGAGAGAGCAATATGGCCGAGACAGGAAGTGCTTCTTATAGGAGCTGGGTTGGGGCTTGTAGGAGCTAGGGTGGGTTTGAATGAGGTAGAGGCTAGGGATTGGAGAAGCCTGGAAAAGGGACATGTTGGGAAGAAGGCCGTCATTTGGTGGGAGAAGCCATATTTTAAGTGGGAAGCAGGGTATTGTGCGAAGGAGAAGGCTACTATTTTATGGAGTATCTGTCTTAGGGTGAGGGAAATTAACACCATGTGATAGAGTATGTAGTTAGGTAGGAATGAGCTGCTGGATCTGTGAAACTGGCACACAGCTCTAAAAGAAATTCTATAAAAGGCCTAGGTCTAGATTTCTGGGGTTTGAGGTTCCTAGGATTCCCGAGAAGAGCACTTTATTCCTCCTTGAAGATTTCCCCTTCATATCCAGTCTTACACTTTTTGATTCCATACAGTCACACTTTGGGGCACAAACACCAAGTTAAACTGTGGTGACCCTGTTGGCCCAATTAGGCCTCACTTACATGCATTAATATTGTGGTTTTGTTTGCCCCCTCCGCCTTGAGATTTGGCCATCATGTCTGTTCCAATGAAGCCTATAAACTGTGACTTCAAAATGCCCCTTTCCTATATATGAGATTGGAGACTCTTAGTTGATTGGAAGAAGCCTTACCACTCACGACGACGCCCCAAATTCTAGTAAAAGAAAACCTAACTCTAAAACTTGTAGCATTTACCATCTCTGGGTACCTCCTGCTCTCCCTTCTTGAGGGTATACTTACATTACTGACAGTTGCCACCTCTGCCTCAGCCTACTTGGACCTCTCCCAAGCATATTATCCTTATTTATCAAAGTTAGCCTTGTTTAGAGTATATTTTGTTTATTCCTCAATAAATATGCTTGCCAAAAACCTTTTTTTCTGACTCAGAGCCCTGTCTGTAGACCTCTCTTCAGCAAATCTTCCTGGGGAGGATCAAAGAGCCAACACCACCACACAGTGCAGAACAGCAACCAGCCCAGGCTGACCCTGCCATTGCAGTAACACATTTTTTTTCTATATCTCTTGGTATTTAAAAAATATTAATATGAAGTGTATAAAGTACATAAATGCATTCCTATAAACATTAAAAACCTGTCAGTATTAAAGAAGAAAATCAATGACGCTTGTTAAGGCACAGCAAGAAATTATTTAGGACCATCATAATAGGTATGATTTTGGATCACAACAGTGTAAAAAATAGTTTAGTTAGCTTGTGAGTAAGGCAGCTAGCTAGGGAAAAGGCCTGAGATAGAGTTGGACAATCAATGATGATAAGACTTAAAATAAGAATAGAAAGGGAACTGGATTTGTAGTAATATACATCAAAATCATGGATTATGAAATGCTGATATAATAGAGCTCCAGAAGATATAGTAATCTATATGTGGTGTGACCTGAGTCCAGTCAAGAAAATTGTTATCTGTTTCTTCATTCATGAATGATTTATTGAGCAACTATTAGCACAAGAATACATATACATAGGATATATATGATATTATGTAGGGAATTTATTAGATAGACTTACAGGATCACAGGTAGGATAGTCCACAGTGGTAGTCTGCATGCTGTAGGGCAGAAGTGGTATAGCACAGTGGCATGGCAGAGGAAAGTTGCTCATGGCATGGCAGAGAGATGCAGAAAGAGTGAAAAGAAGATCTGGGTAGGGAGAGAAACCCTTCCAGGCCCTGCTCACATTGACCCTTCTCTTTTAACCAGTCCAGCCTCGTAATAGCAAATCAGTTTTCAGCCCCTCTAGCCCAACTTCAGTCAGATGGATAAGGTAGGGAGAGGTGTGTCCTGCTGAGCAGAATGAAATTTTCTTTTCTTTTTTTTTGGTACCGGGGATTGAACTTGGGTCCTTGAGCTTGCAAGGCAGGCCACCGAACTGCTGAGCTAAATCCCCAGCCCCAGAGTGAAATTTTCTACCCTGGAGACAGACTTCCGTCTTTACATGTGTAAGAGGAAAGCAGGGTTTATCCTAAAAGCAGGAAGGCTGGGAAAGTTAAGGAGACCCAAACAAAGAAACTTTCCCTCTTCTTATGGAGAAACTTTTCCTCTTACATATGTAAGTAGAGAGTGGGAATGCCCTAAGGGAAGGAAGCCCAGGAAAATAAAGAGAAGAGAGCCTAAGAAGTAAAGTCCTTTTTGCACTTTTATGAGCAACCCAGGCCTCTCTTTGGGTCATCTTTCCTATTCTGCAATAAATCCTCTTTTCTCTAACCTAAGATTTTGTTTGAGCACATGCTCTCTCACTCTACAAGCTGGGCAGGCTGTGTCAAAACCTCCTGTTTGATAAGAACCAGGAAAATTCAGGTTACACCATTATATTCCAAAAGCCCTTCCTGTGGGTACATAAGGTTCTCAGTGGATACCTGGATATAACCATAAGAATTTATAAGAAAATAATTGTGATTATTTAATTATGATGTGCTAAATTATGATTGTTGTAGCTTAACATCAGATGCAGTGTGCTATGACAACTTGTGACTGGGAGCCCTAATCTTGATGGTAGCACTGGTGGAGAGGTGGTAGGGCAAACTCTTCAGTAACACTTGAACCAAGCCTGTAGGATGACCAGGCAGGCTGGGATGGAGGGTGGGAAATGGGGTAAGAAAGAAAAAGAAAACATGTATGCAAAGGCCCTCAGATGGGAAGAAGCTTGGGGTATTGGAAAAACTGAGCGATGGTTGGTATAGGTGGAATCACAGAACAGAGAGAAATG